TCATTAACCGTGTGGGGAGCCAGTGGTCCCTGCATGTGAGACCTGAAATGTTATTACCTCAGAACAGAGGACACTCGGCTCCCGCCCATGCAAGCTGGATTTGGCACGACTCTGTTACTGATTGATAGGCCTTTCAGGAAACAAAGACGGAGAGAATTTAGCATGCTCCTGGCTCTGGGCCAAGCCAGCCTCATCTCCTTTGCTTTGTCAAGTGTGTCTTTTTGTCTGCCTTCATCACTTGCTGAGCGCCTCTGTTTTAACTACTGGGGGGAAGCAAATGTGTATTTGTGGGGCGTGTGTGCGTGCACACGCACACATGCACGTGTTGCACATGCACATGTATGCATGCACCCAGCTTTCCCTGAGCCCGGCTTTTTTGGGGGCAGGAGGGAACAAGGGGATCGGCTAGAACTCTCTACCTCTTTTCCTGAGCCCCTTGACTTTGAAGCCAATGCCTAGAATTTTTATCTTGTGTATGCTTTTCCCAAAGCCAAGTCCAGACAGAGACAGATTATAGCCTTCACAAGGTCACACGGCAAGCTAAGGGCAAAGCTGACACTGAGGCCAGTTTTCCACCTTCTCCCACCTGTTGTGGTGAGCTGCCGGTGACATCCTGGGGTCATGAACTGCTGCCCAGCTTGGAACTTCCCTTCTTCTACCCTTCCTCCAGCTGTGTTCACCTGGGGAATTCCTCTTGGTGACAAGGAAGCCCTTCAGAGAAGTGACAGTGAGAGTTTCTTGAAAAGGGCACCAAGTTTAGAGCCCTAGATAGAGTTCAACAGCAGCCAGGGGTGTCTGAGGGCCTCTCGGGTTGCGGGGAGGACTGTGGGAGGTCACCCAGGTCAGAGCAGGTAGCCCAACAGGGCAGAAATAACTGTCACATTTGATCGTGGGGAGCTGCCACCTGATGCAGTTTGTTCCAGAGCCTTCCGAGCATGAGGCCCATCCACACCTGGGGAAAACCCCTTACCCTGATCTCCTCTTGTCACCTCATTAACCCCTCCAGTGTCTGTCGAGCTGAAGCTCTGGGAACCAAGGTTCCTAATTCTTAATAGGATTTCTTCCCACACTCTCATTCACTCACCTGCACTCAAGGTAAAATGTCCCCAGTCTGGGAGGCTCCTTCTACCACCACAGCCTAGGAGGGGGCACTGAGGCTGAGCAGGGGTTTCTTCCAAGACTGGGTCACTCTGCGGCCCTGGCTCTCCTAGTCCAGCCCCTGGCTCAGCATTGCCTTCTCAAGGCCCTAGAGAGAAGCTGCCATGGCGCTGGCTCTGAGGCCCAGGTCTGATCCATCTGACCAGCTGTTGACTCACTGCAATGATGAGACAGGCCTGGGTGGCCACAGCATTTGCCTCTGTTCAGGCATTTCTCAGGTGGACGATAAGAATGGGTGCCTGGTGAGGAGCAGGTCACCGATGCACCAGAGGCCCTGCTGAATTGCAGTTCAGAGCTCAGCTGCCTGGGGCTGGGGATCAACAGGGAGGGAATTAATTTCTCCAATGGCAGTCCCCTGTCCTGGGGAGAGGAGGGGCAGGAAGAGGACCTGGGAGGAGACGCAGACCGCCCTCTGCCCTGGGCCTCTCTTTAGCACAGCCCCCCACCTCCCACTTCCACCCACTGTCTGCCCAGGGAGCCCACTCACTTTGACAGGGGTAGGACCAGTAGAGATGCTCAGGGTGGATTTTTTGGGGTGCCTCCTCCTTGCTCAGCTAGGGAGAGTTTGGGATTGCTGGGGAGTCTCCCCCAAGGTCCCAAAGTTTACCAAAACTGGAGGCCCCTGACAAGAGTACCCTCCCTCTGGAAAGGAGATCCAGGCCTGCAGAAGTTAGGGTCCATCCAGTCCAGGCCTCTTGTTCCTCTGATGGGGAAACCAAGTTCAGGGAAGAGAGGGCCCTGCCCCAGACCACTCAGCAGGGGAGTGCCAGTCAGAACTGAGAGGGGACCACCTGTCCCCCAGCCCCACTCCACACTGGGCATTCTCTGCCTTCACCACTCCTTGTATATGAGCTCCCCATCCACAGAGGATGCCGTGACTCAGTGAGATTGGGCGGTGGACAGGGGTTGAGCTGAGCTGGTGGGCTCACCAGCTAATACTCCTACCCCACCCTGGAACTTGCGCCTGCTCCTCCAGCACATGGATGCTGTGAGGAAAGGCCAGGGCACAGGAGGCTTAGAGGAAGACCCTGTGGCCCCAGTGTTTAAAGCCAGCATGTGCCTTTGATGTTTAGAAAACACTCTCTCGAGGGAGAGGGAGCTGGGGTAAGGATGCTACTAGGGCAGGTGGGGCTGTCTGTCCCTCTCCCCAGACTGAAGCAGGTCAAGTTTCCAGGTGCCCTCTGAGTCTCCACCCTACGTCTGTGCCCCATGCCTGCCATGCTTTTTGCCCTCCACCCCCGGTCATACTCACTTACAAGGCCAGTGGCTTTCCACTTTGGCTCTACATTAAATTCACCTGGGGAGGTTTAAAAAACACCAATCCCTCATCAAGATTCTGATTAAGTCAGAATCTCTGCGGCTGCAGTTAGAAGAGGTTGGGGTCAGGTGGCTAGCCTCTTTCCATTGCTACCACACACAGACGTCCCTGCCTAACGTCTCTGCCCCTTTCAGGGTCTTGTTCATGATGTTGATTAACACAGACTATGGGATTAGAGGCTTCATGGTTCTCCGAGCACTGGGGAAGGTGTGCAGATCTCTTATGGTCTCTGCATTCCAGGAGTCAGGGCTCAAGACTGCACAGCCAAGAATTACCCCCAGAGTAGGGCAGCGATACACCTGACGGGTATGCAAGCAAAATGAGAAGAGTTCAGGGCTTTCCCAGGAAACCGGGGTACCCGGCATATCATTCAAGAGGCCCCTCCTTGCTGCAAAGGGCCTCCAGCCCTTGGCAAGACTGAGACTAAAACAAGTTTGAAAAAGATTCGTAGTAAGACACATGCTCACTCTGGTGGTAATAATGGGAATTGCATGCCCTCAGACTAAGGCTATTTTGGTTGCTGTTGTGAGATTAAGAGTAATTCATTCAGTCATTTCTCAGGCTTGATTGTTCTTTGTGACTCAATTTGTGTATGAATTGTGGAAAATCTCAAAGTGAAATGAAATAGCACCCAGTCCATGTGACCTTCATGGAAAGGGAAGGGAAAGTGATCAGAAGGAACCAGGAACAGGTCACAGACCTCAGAATGCAACCAGCATCTTTGGTTCTCAGCACTGGCTGCTCTCCAGAGTCTCCTGGGAGCTTGTTAAGCCTCAGCTTGCACAGGCTACCCCAAGATTGACATCTAATAGGTCTGGAGAGGATGCTGGGTATCTGATGGTTTAAATAGCACCCCAGATTCTCTAGGTAGATAACCTGGGACCCAATGGAGTTTCATGTTTCATGGGATGGAGGGCTTGCTGCAGGGGCAGAGAGGGGAAGTGACTCATCCAGGACCATTTCCCCTCCAGAGCTGGAATTCCCCCTCTGAGTAAGCAGGGTCAGGGCCTGTATGTAGAATATTCTAGATGTTCTCTTCTCCACTGCTCTTATCTCTCCCAGGTGGGCCACAGGCCTGGAGTACACCCTCTTCCTTTTAGCATTGATGCTATATCCAAAAAGCTTCAGGAGTTCCCGGAAGCGCCCCCTGGCTGGACCTGCCCCACTCCTGTTCAAGTCTCCCACATCATGAACAGCCCAGGTGTGGGTCCCATCTCCTGTGTGGAAATACCGAATTCTATTTAGGGATTTGGATGGTCACATTTTATTTGTCATCAGTGAGCCCACATTCAGAGCACATTCTGAAAAGTGAGGATTGTCTATTTTGCTCTCTAAGGACTTTCTGTGCTCAAGCCTTCTGCATTCTGTGAGGGTAGGTGGTCTTCAGGGCCTT